CTTGGTTGGGTGAAATAAATGCACAATTCCTGTCTGTCCCACAACCAAGTGAGCCGTTCCGCAACGCTTGCATGCAGGGAAATCCTAAAACTGAGAGGCACAAGGGTTAGGGTTTCCCTGCCCCGAATCGTGGGGCAAAAGACCCCATTTTCACTCTGTGGTCCAGGAAGCAGGTTTCTCTGGAGTTGACTCCGGATTTTCACCCTTTCGGCCCTGCCTTCCTTTCTTCTTTCCTGGCAGGACGGTATCCTTTTCGGGATGGTTGGGGCCTATGACTGGGATGGGGCTGTGCTCAAGGAGAGCAGGATGGGAAGAGTCTACAGCTCTGCTCGGCCCTGATTGCCAAAGGCTGGCCGGTCCCTCTCTCTCAGATTAGACGGCGGCCTCGGAGGGTTGTCATGCCAATGAAATTGTAAATTGTCGTGAACTTGGTTGGGTGAAATAAATGCACAATTCCTGTCTGTCCCACAACCAAGTGAGCCGTCCCGCAACGCTTGTGTGCAGGGAAATCCTAAAACTGAGAGGCACAAGGGTTAGGGTTTCCCTGGCCTGAATCGTGGGGTAAAAGACCCCCATTTTCACTCTGTGGTCCAGGAAGCAGGTTTCTGAGTTGAGTCCGGGTTTTCCCCCTTTCGGCCCTTCCTTCCTTCCTTCTTTCCTGGCAGGACGGTATCCTTTTCGGGATGGTTGGGGCCTATGACTGGGATGGGGCTGTGCTCAAGGAGAGCAGGATGGGACCCCTCATCCCACCCCGGGAAGCCTTTGAGAAGGAGTTCCCCCTCAAACTGAAAAACCACGCTGCCTACCTGGGTAAGGAAGGAACGGTCCAGCCCCTTCTCACCAACGGGCTTGCTCTCATTTAGTTTATAGCCACCGATTTGTCCTCTCCCTATGGTTGGTTCCCTGAACCACCAAGGTAGACTGCTCTTGTACATGGAGGCATCATTCCACCTTGCTGTTTATGGACCTCCTTCCCGTGTCAATGCAAATGGTGGCGCCTTGTGTCCTCTTAGCAAGGCTGCTGTAACTCAGTGGGTTGGTACATTTGTGGGTGGAAGCCGGCCAGGGCCAGGAGTTCGAATTAGCCCACTGTGCCTCCTGGGAGAGAAGCCCATGGGGCTGATGGTTTAGAAAGATGTCCTACCACCTGGCTAGCCTTGGACATTTTTCTCGGCGGTGGGGAAACCCACCTCCGGTTCCCCTTACCTCGTGGGAGTATCGCCGCGAGTTTCTCGTTCGTCATGGTTCTCTCCTGCTCCCCTTCTTCCTCCTTCGCAGGCTACACCGTCTCTTCGATCAAACTCAGGAACGGGAAGGGTCTGTACGTGGCTGGCGCTCCCCGGTTCAAGCACAAGGGGAAAGTGATCCTCTTTGAGATGTCCAGGAATGGGAGCGTCACCATTTCCCAAGCTCTCGTTGGGGAACAAGTAAGATAAAAGGGGGGGGGTGATACCCACCATATATACATATATTTCTAAAGATGAAGTTACCACCACTGGCCAAGAGAAGGAGCCAGAGACCATGCTATGTACAGTATAGCATTCATGAGCGAAAAATATATTTCCACAAGGTAATTACCAGTCCTGGCCACTAAAGAGAAACAGAGACCATGCTAAAGTATGTTGTATATATTCTTCAACAACAAGAATTCATAGCATGGTGTTTAACTCCCTCCAGCGGCCAGTTCTGGTAAATGCATCATGAAAATACGCACTTTTAGATTTTTCTGTTGAATATTTTCACACCACGGATAAGTGTTGTGTGTAGTGTTCACTATAATCCGTATTATTCGACATCTATGGAGGGGCTCTGCATAGACATGAGGGTCCTATTGTATAATTTTGTAGTTCTGGAAGCCCCCCACCCCCAGACTGTGGGTGCAACACCTTGGTGGGGAAAATATGGTTTGATCTGCTGCAATTCAGAGTTTATCATTTTGGGCTCCCTGTATTTCTCAATATTTTTCTGTTCCCATGCTATCTATCTGTCTGTCTGTCTGTCTGTCTGTCTGTCTGTCTGTCTAGTTCACTATTATCCATGGTTTTCAGTATCCGCAGGAAGATTTGGAACCAAACCCCCCCCCCCGGATACAGGGGTCCTCCTGTAAAACCGGATGTTTCTGTCTAGATTGGCTCATATTTCGGCAGCGAAGTATGTCCCGTGGATGTGAATGGCGATGGGGTCACGGATGTCCTGCTAGTGGCTGCCCCCATGTACCTGGGCCTGCAGAACAAAGAGACGGGCCGCGTTTACATCTACAAAGTTGGACCAGTGAGTGCCTTTTAGAACTAGCTTTCAGTGTTTAAAACACAGGAACCCGTTTTGAACTAACCCAGGCCAGAAGGTCCATGATTTAGTTTTCTACCAAAAAAAAAAAAGATTAAGGATGATTTGGGGTCTGTTCTGGCCGAGCACAGCTGTTTGGTCCTGAGTTTTTGATTGTTAACAGGAATAATTATCCAGGAAAGTAATTTGGTCAACAGCAAAAAAGAGAGGGAGTGTACTTAATTTTCTCTGAAAACAGGGATAGTACAAGAGGAAAGATCCCTAACTTATTTACAGAACTCCCTAGATTTGGCTTTCAGAATGAACCGGTTCTGAGTTCTGGCTGAACAGCTGCATATAAATAAAATCAAATGAAATGACCGTTGTGTTATGCTTCTCCCCCAGAAACTTGACCGCATTCCAGGCTATCCCTTCTGTTTAATTTTGATTTTATACCATTATGTTATTTTGCTTGAACTGTTGTTCAGTGATATGTCGCTTGGTTGTGTAAACTACCCAGAGCAGCCTTGGCAGCTAGATGGGCAGTAGAAAAGTCAAATAAATAAATAGTGGTTCGGCAGACTGAGCAGGGCTCCCGGCTTCCCGCCACGGGCAGCAGCAGGTGACCTGGTGGCCGTCCAGGTGCACGTCTTTGGATGGAGGCCCTTCAGCAATGGCCGTAGGCCTGCCTGTCAGGGACGTTGTAATTGTTTTCTGCTTTGCAAGACCTGCGTTGAGTCTTCAGTGGAGTACCTGATTCTCTAATTGTCTCTGAACTCTCAGATTCGTATTGGAGCGAAAGAGGGCTCCCTCCGACCCTACGGGGCCCACCACTGTGTCACAAGGTCCCTGTTCTCACCCGGTCGCATCACCCAATCCTGTATATTTCATGTCCGTTTCTCTTCCCCTCCCCTTGGAAGTCACTCTTGTCTTCCAACGGGACGCTCCAGGCCGACCCGAAGCCTCAGGATGCCCGTTTCGGCTACTGCCTCCTGGCTGTTCCCGACCTCAACCACGACAGCTACAACGATGTGGTGGTGGGCGCGCCGCTGGAGGACGACCACCAGGGGGCGGTGTATGTCTACCATGGGTACCGCACGACCATGTTGCCCCGCTTCAAACAGGTGAGCCGGCCCCCCAGGGCCCGCTCATGCACCACCCAAAGGGCTCGGGGGATGTCTCAGAACACGGCAATATTGCTTTTCCATGTCTTTGTTTTGGAAGAAAAACAGATGCTTTGCCATGTCTCTTCCCAGGGATATTTGTTTTGTGACAAGCCGAGGTGGTAGCTCAAGCCAAGATCATCTCTACCTGTGTGTTGGTGGGAAGGATCACAATCCCTGGAAATGTTTAACACTTGGGGGAAAAAATCTGTTTCATTTTTCTGCTTTGGCGTTATAGCAAAAGTGAGAACTCTTGCAAAAATGAGAGATTAAAAAAGATTTCAGTGTTCAGAAGCATTCTCCCACCAGATGGCCTCCTATGTAATTGGCAATTAAAAGCCTCCGACTTCTGTCCTGTGGCTCTCGCAACTCCCATGTAATCCCATGAATCTTAGAGGAGCTGTGAGAGCCACAGGATTGAAGGAGGAAGTATTTCTTTACTCCCACCAGATAGCATTACCAGCAGGGGGAACATTTTCATAATGAAAGACTTCCTCCCTCCATCCCACCGTTCCTACAGCTTCCACGTGATGAACGGGATTTTCTAGAAACCAGAAAAGCCCTGGGACAAAAGTGGGAAGTTTTTGATGACCAAAAACCATTCTTTGCCCATGATGGTATCACCCTCCTGCAGGCATAAGTGATGCAACAGAATCTCAGCCATTATGTTTAGATTTTTCTGTTACGTATGTGTGTTATGTGTCATCAAGTTAGAGCCATTTTGTAGCAACCATAATTGGGAGCCAATGCATCTTAGCACAAAACCTACTTAGAAAGTTACTTCAATGTCTTCCAAAGGGACAGAAATTGACCTAAGAACTTTCTAGGCTATGGGAGGCGTTCTGAATGTCATACCAACAACTGCAGGTGTCATACGAACAATGGTGTAGAATTAGCAATGGATTTTGATTTGGGAAAAAGCTGCCAGCAACGACTGTGTCAATTATAAGGCGCTTCTTGCATAGCGATGAACTGCTATAGCGCAAGACCGGAGACATGACACAAACGGAACAGAAGGAGAATGGCCTGATGCCATGAAATAAGGAGATAAGATCAAAACTGGAAAGGTTTTTGGATAAAGAGATCACTCAACCTTGGAATGGTTCTTTCCGGTAGCGGATCGAAGCGTCGGCACTGCCCCAGGGCCTGCGCTACTTCGGCCGCAGCTTGGACGGTCAGATCGATCTGGATGGAGACGGCTTGGTGGACCTTGCTGTCGGAGCCCAAGGGGCTGCTGTGGTGTTAAGGTGAGCCACTCCTTCGGCGCCACGACTCTGGGAACCTCCGGGAGGGAAGACCTCAATGGGAGACCAAGGTCAGCTCCGTGTTGGGGCTTCTGGGTGTGTTCAGATTTTTGGGGGGAGGGTGTGCGGTCACACAGCACTCTTGCTGAGGCTGAGGCCACCAAAGCTGGACATGAAGACAGAAGCAGAAGACAGAAGAATTTTGGGCACAAGGGAGGCCTTTCCATGATTTTTTCCCCTTTCTTGTTGCCGAGAGGACAGGTGTGTTCAGATTTTTGGGGGGAGGGTGTGCGGTCACACAGCACTCTTGCTGAAGCCGACACCACCAGAGCTGGACATGAAGACAGAAGCAGGTGGAAGGTCACCTGTTTGGCACAAGGGAGGCCTTTCCATGATTTTTCCCCTTTCTTGTTGCCGAGAGGACAGATCCAGGAGGATCGTGCAGGTGAACACGTCCATCTCTGCAACCCCGTCCTCCATCAACGTGATCCAGAAGAATTGCCAGCGGAACGGGAAGGAGTCGCTCTGCGTCACCGTCGGCCTCTGCTTCAAGGTGTCCTCCCGCTCTCTCGGCCCGAGGGACAGCCATTTGAGTGAGCGTCTGCCCGCCGGCCCTTCGCGCATCTCCCGATTCGCACACCATTCATTACGAGCTGGCAATACCGGCCCAAATTCCATTGACAACGTACACTCGGGGGGGGTGACCTTGGAGGGCTCAGGGGGGCTCCTCTTTGTCCACGCCAACAACAACCCACACTTCTCTCTCGCCCTCTCCTTCCTTGGCCACCCTTAGGTATAAAATTCAACGTCTCCCTGGACGACCGGAAGTTCGGCACCAGGGCGGTGTTTGACGGCAACTCCCAAAAGCTGCTTCAGAAGAGGATCCGGGCCACCGTGGGCAGGACAGCCTGTTCCACGGTCCGTTTCCACGTGATTGTGAGTACGGCGTGGCTCAGCCCTGGCTTTTAAGCTGGCAGGATCTCCAGAGCTTGACTGCTCTTCCCAAGACCCTGCTGGGTGGCCGGGAAAGGCCGAAACCAAGCCCACGCAGAGGTGGCCGTAAGATCACTGCAGGATTTTCCACCTTGGGGCAGCCCTTCAGGATTTACGGGGCCAAATCTTTCTCATTTTTCCTGGAATCTTTCTCATTTTTCCTCACTGTTCACTATTATCCACGTTTCTCAGCATCCACATGGCAGCTTGGAACTGATCCCCTTCGGATATGGGGGCCCTGCTGTATTGTAGATTTGGACAAAGTTCCATCTGCACAAAAACTGGCCTGGTGAAGGCAAGATCTCTTGTCGAGATAAATAAAAAACCCAACAACCCTGTTCTTGTTTCTTGTCTTCCTTCTTATGGGGCAATACAAACCAGAGGTCGCAGCCCCTAGAGATGATTCCAGGCCCATCTCTTGCCTTGCAGGACACCTCCGATTACCTGAGACCTGTGACAGTCACGGTGAAGTTCGCCTTGAGCGACGCTGAGCCGGGCCCAGTGCTGGACGAGAAATCGCCCACCACCGTTAAGAAACTGGTGAGTCAGATGGGGCAGGAAGGGGGAGGTGTTTGAGATCTAGGCTTGGTTCTGAAATCTTCATCATCTTTTACTTACTGGTCCTCCGGAGAAAAGCAGGGGCTTCGTAGACAAGTTGGTTGCGCCGCCACAAAAGCTCAGAAGAGATAACTTTTTAACACCTTCTAACTGTAAAGCTGAAGTCTCGGATTTGTTTCTTTCCAATCCGGCCTCTGTCCCTCGAGGACCTTCAGACATTCTTTTATAGCAGGATTATGGAGATCATCTTATGTTTTTTTTTAAGGTGCAGCCTTTTAAAATAACAGGCAAACTGGCTATTAAGGTTTCTTGCTGCCATCGGCTCTGAAAATACCTGTGCGGCCGTTTCATTTTGACAAGTCAGATTTTTAAGTCTCTGCTCTGAAAAACCGTTTTTCCCAAAATGGTGTGCGGTCTTCTTGGGTGCAAGACAGGACAAAAAGCAATCCTGGATCTTTGGCCCTTTAACCGCTTTTGTTTTTAAATTTTTAGTTTATTTTTTAAAGCAATCCAAGCACCGTATCAAATTCTGAGGCCGACGCAGCGCACCTCGGTCGAATACATTTGCAGTAACGCTGCTTATCTTGTCTGATTCTTTAATAAAAATAGAATAATAAAAACATGTTCTGTGTTTGCTAGTTAGAATCTTGCTTTTGGTTTATTTTTTAAAAGTTCTGTTCTTTGGAACCCGGGGATTGTGCAAGCAATACCAGCTTCTGTGCAGTGCCTGCACAACCCAGCATCATCCTTCCTCTTGGTTGGTTTCTAGATCCCCTTCTTCAAGGACTGTGGTGAGGACGATGAGTGCATCACAGATCTGGTGCTGAAAGCTCGGATGGATATCACTGGATCCAGGTAGGCCGAAGGTCTTCAACTCACGACGTTCCTATGGAGGAGCCACCTCCAAAACGTCCTTCCCTGAACAGCCCTGCTCAGCTCTTGCAAACACGAAAGTCGTGGTTTCCTTGAGGGAGTCCGCCCATCTCACGCATGGCCTTCCTCTTCTCCTGCTGCCTTCCAACACTTCCCATTCCCCTGCCCTCACGCTCATCCTCTCTTCTCCTCCTTTCAGGCAGAAGCCTCACATCCTCCGAAAAGGGAGGCGGAAGGTCTTGGTGGACGTCCTTCTGGAGAATAAGCAGGAGAATGCCTACAATGCCAGCTTGGGCCTGTGGTTTTCCAAAAACCTCCATTTTTCCAGCTTGGTGCTCAAGGTAAGGAGGCCACCGTTGGGTGGGTTTTTTTTGGGTGGCCCAGTGGGAGAAGGTGAACACTGGGAGGATAACCCTGTGTGATCCAGAAACGAGATTCCTGGGAAGTTCCTAGAAGCAGGCTGTTCATGATTAAGCCAATCGTAGCATCTCTGCCCCCACATTTCTCGGTCCTCCCCACGAGTCTTGGTGGCTTTCATCATTAGAGGGGCGGAGGAATCATTGGATTCAGCCCTTTCTCAAACCTTGGGTTGTTCTGTGCTTTCGTTTCCCTCCCGCAGGGCGAGAACCCAGTAAAAATTGAATGCACCACCCCGTCGGCTCAAACCCGGGCATGCTCCGTGGGCTATCCCGTCTTCAGATCCCTGGCAAAGGTGAGGGGCTGGTCCTCCAAGCCTCCCGTACGACTGGGCCGGTCGGAGGGCCTTCTGGATCAGAATGGGTTGGTCGGAGGGCGATGGCGGTCCTTGTCCGACTGTTCAAGATGGCACTGACTTGATGAAGTCGATTCCCGTGGACAACGCATGGGGTTTTTTCGTACCCAGGGCAAATAAAGAGTCAATATGGGCAGGAAGGAGAAAGGGGGGGTGTTGAAAACTCAAAATTGTTCTCAAGACTTCTCCCTGGGTTGCAAAGTGCTGGATATTAGCAATGAAAATTTTTGATTTTTTTTTTTTTTGGTTACAAATCCCATAATTCCCCTTCTGGGGAGTTGCAAAGCGCTGGATGTTAGCAATGAATTTTTTTTTTTTTTTTGGATTACAAATCCCATAATTCCCCTTCTGGGGAGTTCTGCCTGACTTGCACACCCTGGGCAGCTGAGCTAGGCCTATTTCTACCCAAGCTTCCCATTTGTGTCCCAGTGCAAGCTGGGAACTTCCTTTCTGAACAGGAAGCGATCTATCTATCAGGAAGCCAGGCGCTGGATGTTAGCAATGAATTTTTTTTTTTTTTTTGGATTACAAATCCCATAATTCCCCTTCTGGGGAGTTCTGCCTGACTTGCACACCCTGGGCAGCTGAGCTAGGCCTATTTCTACCCAAGCTTCCCATTTGTGTCCCAGTGCAAGCTGGGAACTTCCTTTCTGAACAGGAAGCGATCTATCTATCAGGAAGCCAGGCCGAGCAAGACCAAGCTCAACCCTAAAGCCTTCTCATTAAGGCCCAGTCCCCCAGGGGAGCCACAGTCAGGTAGAACAGACAGAATGGGGAATTATGGGATTTGCAGTCCCCCAAATACCACCCCACTGATATTTTAAGGCATTATTGACTCCACATTTTGCTTCTTCTTTCTAGAGAATTCTCCTTTTTTCGCCCTTTCTCCTCAGGTGGCTTTCGTCCTGGAGTTTGAATTCAGCTGCTCGTCCCTCCTGAACCGAGCCCTGGTGAAGCTCACGGCTAGCAGGTGAGAACTGGGTTCAGGGGGGGTAGCCAAAGCACATCTAGACGGACCTGGCAGGAGCCCTGATGAAATCAGGGGAGAAAAAAATTAAGCTGAAAAAAAATCATCATCATAAAGGTCAGTGCTCTTCTCCCGAACAGGTTTATTTGTTTAAGACCATGATGGATGGATGGACGGATGGACGGATAGACAGATAGATAGTGATAAAAAAAAATTAAGCTGAAAAAATAATAAATCATCATCATAAAGGTCAGTGCTCTTCTCCTGAACAGGCTTGTTTGTTTAAGACCATGATCATTGAATTAGATGGATGGATGGATGGATGGATGGATGGATGGATGGATGGATGGATGGATGGATGGATGGATGGATGGATTGACTGACCGATTGATTGATTGAACTTCTGGTCTGATCCCGACACCTAGCAACAATGAGAATCAACTGTCGCAGAGTTTTGGGTTAAATTCCTACTTCTGGCCTGATCCCGACACCTAGCAATGATGAGAATTAACTGTCGCAGAGTTTTGGGTTAAATTCCTCTAGCTGCATGGCAGCCGCGCAGGGACTCACAGAACGAAATACGTATCTTCCAAATTCCCCAGAGTAGTCCACCCCTTTTCTCCTCTTTAACTGGCACTTACAGTCTCAATAACTCTCAGCAACAGCGAATCACTGACTACCGTACTTTCTTCTCTTGCAGCGACAGCCATGAATTAAACGAAACTCTTTCCGACAATATGGCGCAGCCTGTTGCTTACGTCCACTACGAGCCTGACCTTTTCCTGACCAGGTAAGGCCTGACCCCCAGAGGAAGCTGCCTGAGTCCTTAGCCTGGGGACAGGATTGAGGGCAGGATGATTGGGCCTTCCCTGCGAGGGGAGGGCACCTCTGCTGAACCACGGCAGCAGAAACAGAGGTCCGTGGATTTCACAGGGAGACCCTTAGCGAGCCTCCATGCTCTCGTGCATCCTGGTAAAGAAAAGAGATGAAACTTTGTCTGGGGAAGATGGGATCAGGAGCCCACTATGCCTCAGTTTGGGGATGATGGGTGTGAATGACATCCTGAAAGGGGCTTTGCTTATTTTCTGTCATTTCTCTCCCCGCTTCCTCGCCCAGCGAATCCACGCTGAATCGCTACGAGGTCCATCCGGTGGAGACCTTCCCGACGGGGATGAACCCGGAATTCAGAACCACCCTCAAGGTAATGACCAGGCCTGCCCTATTTCACCCAGTCTCCGAGGCAACGCTTTCGAACGGGGTGCTTTGTCCAAGGGGGAGGAACCGGGGCTTTTGACCCCAGGGCACCAACCTTTAAGGGCGCCGGAATCCAGAGGGGGAACCTGAAGCCGAAGAATGTTCGGACGAGAGCACAGATTGGAGCTAAAAGCAGCACCGAAGCACTGTAACTTTATAGCGGAGACACACTCTTTCTATCTGACTCTTGCAAAATCAATTGTTTTTTGAAGGTGGCTGTTTCAGCATCTGTTTTTAACTGAAGCCGCTTTCTCTGTTGTTCTCGCAGGTCCAGAACCTCGGGTGCTACGCGGTGGGGAACCTCTCCCTCACCATGGAGCTCCCGGCAACTGCCTATCAGGACCTCCCGTTCCTCTCGGTGACCCGCATCCTGGCCGACAACGTGAGCGGCTTCGGCTTCCCTTGGTGGGCGTCGGGAGGGGGGTGTCATCTTTAGGACCCTCTTAGCGGGCTTGCTGGCAAAACTCTAGCCCGGATGTTGGGGTTCTGTGGCCACAAGTTGGCTCCAACTCAGGGTGACCCTACGGATGAGGGACCTCCGAAACATTCGGCCCTCAGCTGCCCAGCTCAGCTCTTGCAAACCCACGGCCCGTAGGTTTCTTGGTGGAGTCGATCCATTGCGTCTTGGAGTCTTCTCTTACCCTGCTAGTGTTTCCTTTTCCCGGCATTCTTATGTGTTGTGAGTCATGCGGCATAGATGAGGCAGGAGGATTTGGGGCAAAAAAGCTATCAAAAGGTGAAAGCGGTAGGAAGTAAGGAGGACGGTGCATGCATAAAGGAACCACAGCCTTGACTTTGCAAAACCTGAGCAGGTGCTGTTAAGGACTGAATCTTCTGGAGGCCACTCATTCATAGGGCGCCATATGTTGGGAGACACCTAACAGCATGAAACAACATCGGAAGGCACCCAAGGGTTATCTAGTCTGACCCCAATCCATGCAAGACCACATAGGTTAGAACAAATAGTTCAGGTTGTGCAGAGCTTATCCTGGCTCCTGAGGCCTGAGCAAAAACACCTCAGGTTATGCAAAGGTTATCCCATCATACTGCTGAGCCGTGAGCAAAAACTACCCAGGTTGGGCAAAGGTCGTCCTAGCAGGCTCCTGAGGCCTGAGCAAACCTCTCAGGTTGAGCGAAGCTTGTCTCAACTAGCAAAAGCCTCCAGCCACTACTTGTAATATAATGGGTTCAGCGCCTTCAACCCCCTCAAGCAAAAATGTTAAAAAAATTAGCTGGCCTACAAATGTTCAGATGGCCCAGCCTTTCCAACCTGGGGGCGCGCCTTTCAGATCATCCCTTTTATCCAGACAGCCTCAGGCTGGGGAGGGCCCCGGAAATCGGAATACGAGGAAAGATCCGCATAACGCGGCCAGGCACCGACACTGACTGTGGGGAGAGAAAGGGGCCTCCTCCCTTCGGAGCGCTTGGCGCTGGCAGGGCTCCCTTTCTGCTGCCCGAAATGTTTTTCAGAATTTGAAAAATATCCTTTTTCTAGACTGCAGATCCCAGAAGCCACTAGCTCCTGGGGCCTGGAGTCGCACTGCCTGGGGTGTGATGGGAGTTGTAGTAGAGGAAGCCAGATTTAGGAGCTCATGGGTCTTATCATGACTGTCTTAAGGTCACCTGCAGCTTCCAGAACCAGACTGAGACGGTGTCGAGGGCCAGCGGCGAGGGGGTGGTCCCTGTTCACCCAGAAGAACTGATGCGTGTAGACAAACTGGTGAGTTTTTAAACAGGTTTTAAATCTTTTTTCTAATTTTAAAATTAAATTAGATTAAATTACATTTTGAGTAGTCTGGGAAGAGAGGCAAGCAAGAAACCTCTGTTCACTCATTGAGCCACGAAAACCAACGGCCCAAATCCTGTTGCATAGAATAGTAAACTGCACTAAAGTAGGCCCATTGACTTAATGGGGATTTAGTGAGTCAGCACCTCCTTCAGTTACATGGATTCCCATGGGCCAACTCTAACTACAAGAGTTCAGCATCCTAAGTCCCTGTTAGAGGAGGCCCATTTGAATCAATGGAGTTGACTCTCCCTATCCCTGCTGATTCACTGGTTCTCTATTCTAGTGTGATTTGTTACATGTAGCAGCAGGATTTGGGCCACTGTGTCACAACCCAACCTCTCTTGGCCCACCTCACAGGGTTCTTGTCAAGATAAAGAGAGGGAGAGCCACCTTAAGCTCATTGGAAGAAGGTTGAGATGCAAATGCAGTCCATCCAGCAATAAAACCTGCTGCAGAGTTTTGAATTGCTGGTTAATGTCCTTTCGCTGCACAGGGGAAGTGGAGGAATTCACAAAGTAGAACAGCTTCCAGTCCCCCAGAGTGGTCCACCCCTTCTTTTTCATTCACTGGCCCTTCCAGTCTCAATAACTCCCTTTGAGACATTAATCGTGGAAGGAATAGGTTTCGTTCCTTACAACTGAACAGCAAAACTATACAAGGATGTACATACTGCCCCCAAAATCCAGACCCATAGCTAAGTGTCATGTCATGGGGTATGTGGCATTTGCAAGCTGTTTCACCGGCAAGGACCACCTTTTCTCCCTCGTGGCAGAATTGCACCAATGCTGGCTGTCAGGTGGTGAAGTGTGAGCTCTCCCACGTCGAGAGGACCTCCGAAGTCTCCATCCACCTGCTTAGGACAGTTCACAACGAGTTTTTCAGCAGGGTGAGTGCAAAATGGGCCATTTTTCTCACGGGCTGGAAGGTAACTCTGGAAGATAATTTCAGACACCAGTGGCTCCAATGTCAGCAGGGCAGCTAATCCGTCTCGGGTTTTAGTCTAAACTTTACAGACACTCCCTGGCACCTGAATACTTTTCTATGTCTTAATCACTTTCGCTCTGAAATGGGTGCCTCCAGCCTCCCCCAGGCGAAGCTATTCAACAGCCAAGTGTCAGCAGCTCATCATCCCACCCGATGAGTCTGGACAGTAGGGACCCCATATCCGCCATTCCAAGCTCTTTGGCGGATGTTGGAAACTGTGGATAATAGAGAACACTCTACTTAGCCTGGTCTCTGGCTCCCTCTAGTGGCCAATTCTGGTAAATACCTCATAGAAATACATATTTTAAGTTTTTTTCTTCTAATATTTTCAGACCACAGGTAAGTGAAATCATGGATCCCGATCCTGTGGATATAGAGGTCCTCCTATACTGCCATTCACTGAAGTTTTAAAAGTCTCTTCCATCTCTTTTTCTTTTCGGTTCTTTTTCTCTCCATTTTGGGGACAAAGGCCAAATTTAAGACGGTGAAGGTTGTCAGCACGTTCACGCTGAGCACGGCAGAAGGAGAGGCCCTGTTCTTCTTGCCCAAAGCCGCACATCGACGGGAGGTAAGGGGAACCGGCGGCATCTTCGCCAGTTCTGGGTTCAGGAGCCCACTTCTCCTCTGGAAGGGAAAAACCCTGCCTTATTGCCTGTGTAAGCTGAGGCAAAGCTGTGTGTTTTCTTGCAAACCCGTTGTCTTGCTTTCTCCTGTATGCAAGGAACATTCATATCCCATCATCCCCCCAAATGTGGAAACCCCACCCACCCAGTGAATTCCAGGCCCCCTACATGGCCCTTCTCCTCCTCACAAATAGTCCTGTGGGGTAGACCAGCCTCAGCTTTGGGAGTCTTAAATCCAATATTCTAACCTACACATTAGGAAAATTGCTTCTGGACTACAGAAGAGTTGGAGAACGTTTTCTGAGCTACTGGCCATCGTTGCCAGTGCTCGCTGGGGGATTCTGGAGCTTGTAGTCCAGAAGAGAGCAAACGGTACTTTGCAAACATTGTTCCGACTCTGTTCCTGAAAGAGCAGCAGGGAATCCAGGACTGAAGGGGATGGAAGAGAGAGCAAGAAGGTTGACAGGGAAAGGGGGAGCCCAACCGCTGAACAGCAGATGGGTTGGACTACAGTTCCCACGATCCTCAGCTAAAGATGGAGGAGAGAGCAAGAAGGTTGACGGGGAAAGTGGGAGCCCAACTGCCGAAGGGCAGCCTTCCGCACATGTCTGGACTACAGTTCCCACGATCCTCAGCTAAAGGGGTGACTTGCCTGTGTCATGATGGGTGTCGTAGTTCAACGCATATCATCAGAGGGCGCTGAGCTGGCGGAGGGGAGGCTAACTCGACTATGATCCCAGGGCAGCCTTCGCTGGCAACTCGCCTGCCTGCTGGTTTATAACACCGGCCAACCCTGCAGGGGCGTTGTAAGGATTAGGTGGCTCACAGTTGCCCCATCCTAGGGAAATCCCAGCCTCTTGAGTGCTTCCTCTCTTCTCATGACGGTCGCAGACCCTGCTGGAGGTGATCCAGTCCGACGTGGTCCCCCTCTCCCTCTGGATCCTCATCGGCAGTATCGTAGGAGGACTTCTCCTGCTGGCCCTCATCATCATCTGTTTGTGGAAGGTAAGAGCCTGGCGGCCCCCGTCCCTGGAAAAGGATCAAAGGCAACGGCCCTTCTGCCGTCGCATTTCTGACAGAGAGGGAAGGTTAGATCAAGGGTACCTATCAGTACCTGTGGATTCAGTTACACACTGCCTGGAAATATTAAAAAGGAAAAAAAAACTGAGAAATAAGCATTTCTAGGGCATATTACTAAAACTGTCCACTAGAGGGAACCAGAGACTATGCTATATAGATCGGGTTTGCTATGTCCACGGTTTTCGTCATCCGCCAGGAGGGCTTGGGACCATTCCCTGTGACGATTGCATTTCCTCCTAATAAAATCTGCATGCTCTCTTTTGCTCCCCCAACAGCTCGGCTTCTTTGCCCATAAAAAGCCTGGGGAGGACGAGAAGGAGGACCAGTAAGACCCGACCTGCGCCTAAGACTTTTCGCTCCACAGAGATGAGCTGCTACGGGAAGAAATCCAGACGGAGGGCTGGGGGGGCGGGGGGCGTGGCTGCCTGCCTCCGACTCTCCCTTTCAGTCCGTGGACATTTCAGAGAGAAATCTCATTCTTCTGCTCGGGAAGCTCAGAACATGCCACTCCCTTCCCTTGTGGAAGGTGCAACTCAGCGCAAGTCCCCCCGTGGGCCCTAAAGCGCCATTTTTTTGCTCTCCGTGGCGGGGATCCCACCTGCAAGGTTTAGAGGACGAGAAAAAAAAGAGGAGAGATCGGCCAGCCAGGCGCCTTCTGCAGAGGCTCACGGAGACGGGCCCGGATGACCAACAGACGTCCACCCTTCCCCAGATGAAATGGGAAGCCCCCCCACACACACCCCACACAAACCAGCTTCTCTCCCAGCCCTGCAGAGCCTCTTCCTTCCAAGGGGCTCCGTCCCTCGTTTCTCCTTTCCCACTGTGGCGGTCTCGACCAAGGGCGGCCCCCCCCCGGCCGAAGAGAACCGCATAAGGCGCAGACCCTGAAAGTCCTACAGTTTGGCACATCGTTCCAGATTTCCGTTAGGGACCGTTTTAAAAGATCCTGATTCGAAGAGCAATCCCAGGGCATTGGTCCTGTGAGCTGTACAGGCCTGGCCGTGGCGTCACGCTGGCCCGCTCCGATCCTGGTTTCACGGCGAAGCCCACGGCACCGAGGAAAGTGTGAGAGGAACGAGGCCCATCCCTGCGTCAGCTCTGACGACTGAAGCCACCGGGCGGTGTTGGGGGAACGGATCCGTCGCTTGTGGGCAGCCGGAGGTGACGGTCGGGGTGGGAAAGGTCCCGAAGAACAGCTGGGTCCCATCCGTTCCTCACCCGTCAGGGGGTCCACATTTAGAGCACCCGGGGGGGAGAGACAGGATGCAACACCTGGGTCCCTCTCCATGTTCTTCCTCATCCTGAACCAAAATCGCCTTCATCAAACACTCAAGGTTCCATATTCCTCCTTCATATATTTGAAGATGGCACAGGTATTCTTGAGCCCCTCAGCCACCTTCCTGACCAAAGAATTAATAAAACCTAAACGTCCTTCCCACCATTTCCGTCCCCCCCCCCCTTTGCTGTCTTGCTTTGAACCTCGTTCGTGCGACTGTAACGATCCGCAAAGGGTGCCTGGCCGCCTTCTGGCTGCGATTAGTCTCTCGCTCCCATCAACACTATCCAGCAGGGATGATGGGAAGTGCAGTCCACACGCCGAAATCCGCGAGGTTAACGCAAGCCGCAACATACCCTCGGCCCGTCCCTCAGCCGCTCAGGTCTGCAGGAACTTGTGCCCCAAATACACAACCACCACCCAAAGGCACACATATTTAGAGAGAAAGCAAACCCTGCTTTTTAGCTGGCTGGACAGCACAGTGGTTTGGGTCTCCAGCTGCAGAGCCAGAGGTTGGAAGTTCGATTCCCCCCACGGTGCCTCCCGGGGGGGGGAAAGCCAGCTTGGGTGGCCTCGGGCAAAAATGGCACAGGAGCCCCAGGGCGACCCCCCAGAAGGGAAGGGGGAACCACCTCTGAGTCTTCTCTACCTGGAAAACCCTGGGAAGAGTTCCTATAAGTTAGAATTGACTTGATCGCACAGGATTCTAATTAAACTTGAATGCGTAGCCAGCAGGTGAGTGAAGCCAAAACAAACATTTACACCTCTATAAATTATTCAAAGAAAAAAAAAACCCTAGAAAGATGTATTTTCACGATGTGGCCACTAGAGGGGGCAGAGGCTATGTATTGAAGAACACACCTGGCACGATCTCTAGCTCCCTCTAGTGTCCAGTTCTGATAATTCATGGTGAAAATACTTTATTTTCTCGATTTTTTCCTTTTACCATGCTATGAATAGTGTTTGCTATTATCTATAGTTTTCAGTGTGGCACTCCTACTGTAAAGGACTCAAAAGTGATGAGCAAACGTCTGTGCTTTGCCAGAACATTTCAGGCTGGAAGTTATATCAACAGAAAATTTCCTATGGGGGAAAAAAAAAGACAACTCAAGTCCGTACCTTTGTCAGATGGGTGGAGATGGCATGACACAGACGAGGCCAGATTGTCCGCCTGCGTTTAGGAACTCAAGCGGCACCACAGACTAAAGAGGATCTCTTGGGAGCTCAGATTTTACTCAGTCCTTCCATGAGCTTTCAGGGGTTCACAAAGTACCTCTCATATTAATCCTGCCGTAAGCTTTACTTTTCCAGGTAATCTTTCTGCAGAAGACATTCATTCTGTATTTTGGAAAGCAACAGATTCGGGATTCCTAATCAAAGAGCCACATCTTCCAACTGCTTCCCGCCCGGCGAGGAATGGGTTTTCTCCCCTCCGCCCCGAGAAGCTAAGTAAACACTCACCAGTTTAGGAGATGTTAGTAGCTCCTAGTTAAGCTTTCATGCTCCTGTTGCTTGTGTTACCTCCAAAGTAGATTATTACAGCTGGATGCCCAAAACATCAAAGTGGCCAAACATTTATAATACCCTCCGAAAAGTGCTTCTTTCCCCCCAGAGGAATGGACAAAAATTCTCTTAACCACCCAGCTTTCTTATTAAAGGATTTTTATTCAATTTTTAATAGCAAACAGAAGACACTCCACCCAAAATCAAGTGTACGTGGTACACCGTTAACAGCGATGACATGGCAACCGAAGTCTCCTTGTGGCGGTTTTTAGTTTTCTTTTGGAGAGGGAACGTGGGTCTCGTCTTCTGCCCCCTTCCCTCCCTTTTTTCCTAAAATCAAAGACAAACTTCCCCCGGCTTCTGGTTTTAGACGAGGGGCCGCAGACTTCATGGGAGTTTTGCCCACAACATGATTGAGAATGTGGAAAGGTCAAGGATTAGGTGTTGGTGTAGAAAAATTCCAGGACAGGAAAAACACTTAAAAGCAAAACAATCAAAAAAGAAAAGAAGCAAAAAAAAGTGATTTGTTATGGTATCGAACTATGACATCTTCATTTTAAATACAGGAGTAAGACAGGCTGCAAAAAAGTCGAAGTTTTAGATATACAGTATATATGGTCCGTTTGATAGCAAGACAGCAAAATGGGTCTTAAGGAGCAGGTGGATAAATGGCTGGTTTAGATAAAGACAATGGAGCCCAGTCAAGGAAAAATACATTTCACACGAGGTGCATCATCTACCTGCATTTCAGGAATCGGGGTAATCCCCCCCCATACATACACACACACACCCCTCTCTCTCAGCCTCATTCTCCTTGTTTTCACAGCCTTCGCCAGGATAAAAGCTGACATGGGCTCTGTTCACACAAAGGAGCCTAAATACGGCAACATCCCAGGTAGCCGGAATAACGGACATTGTCCAAACCCACCGTTCTGTTTGGGGAGAGCCGGAAAGGTCCGGAAACCCTCCCCTTCCTGGGTCAGAACTCCTTCCGGGCCTCTTTCTCGCCTGCTCCCTTCTAAAAGGAGCGAGGAAGAGGCGATGCTCTCGCTCCGCCTTAGGACCAAAACGGATCCCTACGGATTCAGGGCTGGCTTCTCTTGCTACTAAGAAACAGGGACGCCCCAGCTTTTAAAAACCTGCCTTCCAACCCGATCCTGGCTCCTCGCCCCACTCTGCAACCGGTTGTTCTGGAAAGCAGCAGAGAACGCAAGAGAGAGGGTCGGCGTGGCCGAGGTGGTCTGGTTGGAGACGCTCATCGTGTTGGGAAAATGAGGTGTGTCCCCCCCACTCGCCCGCCCACCTCTGTGCTGAGGGGAAGGGGGAGAGGCAGGGACGTGATCCCAAGGCTTCGCACCGGTTCTCCCTCCCTTCTGGCCACTGGGTTTTTGCAGCTTCCTTATGATACAATTTACAACGGTTGTGACGGTGACTCCGGGCCTCGGCCGCCCCTTCCCTTGCCAGCCGGCTTCAAAAAGTCCACCGGTCGTCCAGGTGTCTTGCGCCACTGAAGGGGCTACTTGGGGATGGCCCGAGGGTGGGGGCCTGCCGCGTGGAGTCCTCGCCATTGAGACTCTTCCGGCAGACGGGGCACGTGTCGTGCTGAGGAAGAGACGAGAGAGAGAAGGATGTGACTGGGGGGGGGCAGCTGGAAAGACGGTGGCAACGTTGGGGGGGGGAAGGTTGCAAAAAACAGGCTGGGTCACAAAGCCCTCAAATCGCTCTAGACCAGAGGTTCCCAAACGGGGTGCCGTGTTGCCTTGCGACACCACCCAACCCAACCAGGGGTGCCACAGAATCTGCACAAGTCCTACTCAGGCCAGGCTCCCCCCTCCATTGACCCAAAGCAGCGTCCCGGGCCAAGTGGCCGGTAAGTCTAGGGAGCCGCTCCCCTAGACTAAGAATCGAGAACCTCCAGCAATCTTTTGAATGGAGAAGCACCCCAGAGATTCCACCCCCAAGGCCAGGTGCCCCCAAATCGCTTCTACCCCAGCCACCTGGTT